TCTCTAGGAAGGGTCAAAGGATCATTGCCAGGATACATGGGAGAGAGGCTGATTACATAAACGACCAGGAGGATGGGCATACCCATGACTCCTGTTCTAGACAGAAGATTGGCAGGCCCTTGGGTCTTCCTTCTCGCAACCTCTGCAAGTGGAGAAAGTGCAAGTACCAATCAAAAACCAACCTCTATTTGGGCTGATCATGGTAGTCAGTCCCTTTCCAGTCAGTCCCAGTAGCCAGAGCCAATAGTATATACAATAATAATAGGTACTATTTTACCTCAATTAAAAAAAAGTGAATAAGGCCAGGCACAGTGGCTCATGCCTGTAATCCCAGCACTTTGGGAGACCAAGGCAGGTGGATAACTTGAGGTCAGGAGTTCAAGACCAGCTTGGCCAAGAAAGTGAAACACCATCTCTACTAAAAATACAAAAAATTAGCTGGGTATGGTGGTGCACACCTGTAATCCCAGCTACTTGGGAAGCTGAGGCGGGAGAATTGCTTGAGCCCAGGAGACAGAGGTTGCAGTGAGCCAATATCATGCTAGTGCACTCCAGCTTGGCCAAAAAAGCAAGATTCCTTCTAAAATAAAATTTAAAATACATGAATAAAATGACAATAACTAATACCTAAAATGACAATTACTCTGTGAGGCACTATTCTAAGCACTTTACTTATTTTAACTCATTATTCCTCACAGAATTACTATGAGTTAGGAATTATTATATACTCATTTAATAGATGAGAGAATCAAGGCAGAGAGAATAGCAATCTTGTTCCAGATCACATAGCTGGTAAAGAGTAGAACCAGATCCAAACCAGGCATCTGCTTCCGGAGTCCACACTCTGTTGCATCATGCTCTAATGCTGATAACTCTGTGTATTAGTCCATTCTTACATTGTTATAAAGGACTAACTGAGACTGAGTAGTTTATAAAGAAAAGAGGTTTTATTGGCTCACAGTTTCACAGGCTTCACAGGAAGCATGACTGAGGAAGCCTTAGGAAACTTACAATATTGGTAGAAGGTGAGGGGGAAGCAGGCTAATCTTATGCTGAAGCAGGGGAAAGAGAGCAAAGCGGGAGGTGCTACATACTTTTAAACAGCCAGGTCTCATGAGAACTCACTCACTATCATGAGAACAGGAAGGGGGAAATCCACCCCCATGATCCAATTACCTCCCACCAGGCCCTTCCTCCAACATTGGAAATTATGACTTGACACGAAATTTGGGCAGGGACACAAATCCAAACCCTATCATTCCACCCCTGTCCCCTTTCAAATCTCATATCCTTCTCACATTGCGAAATATAATCATCACTTTTCAACAGTCTCCTGAGTCTTAACTCATTTCAGCATTAACTCAAAAGTACACATTCCAAATTCTCATCTGAGAAAAGGTAAATCCCTTCCACCTATGAGCCTGTAAATCAAAAACAAGTTAGTTACTTCCAAAATACAATGAGGGTATAGGCATTGGGTAAAAACACCCATTCCAAAAAGGAGAAATCATGCAAAACAAAGGTTCCATAGGTCCCATGCAAGTCTGAAACCCAGGAGGGCAGTCATTCAATCTTAAAGCTCTAAAATGATTTCCTTTGACCCCATGTCTCATATCCAGCCCACCCATCGGCAAGGGGTGGGCTTTCAAGGCCTTAGACATCCCTGCCCCTTTAGCTCTGCAGAGTACAGCCCCTCTCAGCTGCTTTCATGGGCTGGTCACTGCAGCTTTTCCAGGTACATGGAGCCTGGAGGATGGTGGCCCTCTTCTCATTAGCACTGGGGCAGTGCCCCAGTAGGGACTCTGTGGGGGCTCCAATCCCACTTTCCCCTCCACCTTGCACTAGTAGAGGTTCTCCATGAGGGCTCCACCCCTGCAGCAGACTTCTGTCTGGACATCCTTCCATGCCCATATATCCTCTGAAATCTAGGCAGAAGCTCCCAAGCCTTAACTCTCGTCCTCTATGCACTTGCAGGTTTAACACAACGTGAAGATGCCAAGGCTTACGGCTTGTACACTCTGGAGCAGCAGCCTGAGACCTATCTGGGGCCCTTTTATCCATGGCTGGAACTGGAGTGGCTGGGACACAGGGAGCAGTGTCCTGAGGTTGTGCAGGGCAGCAGGGCCTTGGGCCCAGCCCATGAAACCATTCTTCCCTCCTAGGTCTCCAGACTTGTAATGCGAGAGGCTTGCACCAAGGTCTCTGAAATGCCTTCAAGACATTTTCCCATTGTCTTGGCTACTAACATTAGACTCATCATTACTTGTGCAAATTACTGCAGCTGGTTTGAAGTCCTCCCCACAAAATGGGTTTTTCTTTTCTACCTCATGGTCAGGTTACAAATTTTCTAAACTTTTATACTTTGCTTCCCTTTTAAATATAAATTACAGTTTCAGATAATCTCTTTGCTCATGCTTATCACTATATGCTGTTAGAAGCAGCCAGGCTACATTTGAATGTTTTACTGCTTAAAAATTTCTTCCTCCAGATACCCTAAATCATCACTCTCAAGTTCAAAGTTCCACACATCCCCAGGGCAGGGACATAATGCCTCTAATCTCTTTGCTAATGTATAACAAAAGTAACTTTTCCTCCAGTTCCCAATAATTTCCTCATCTCCATCTGAGACCTCCTTGGCCTGAACTTCATTGACCATATCACTATCAGTATTTTGGTCACACCAATTTAACAAGTCTCTAGGAAGTTCCAAACTCTCCCCCATCTCCTTGACTTCTTCTGAGCCCTACAGACTCTTCCAACATTTGCCTGTTACCCTGTTCCAAAGTTGCTTCCACATTTTCAGTTATCTTTATAGCAATGTCCCACTTCTTGGCACCAATCTTCTGTATTAGTCCATTCTCATATTTCTATAAAGAGCTACCTGAGACTGGGTAGTTTATAAAGAAAAGGGATTTTATTGGCTGATAGTTCCACAGGGTGTACTGGAAGCATGACCAAAGAGAAACTTACAATCATGGTAGAAGGTGAAGAGGAAGCAAGGCATGTCTTACATGACCACAGCAGGAAGAAGACAGTGAACAAGGAGGTGCGACACACTTTTATTTATTTATTATTATTATTATTATTGAGATAAAATCTCACTCTGTCACCCAGAATGGAGTATAGTAGCACCATCTCTACTCACTGCAACCTCTGCCTCCAGATTCAAGTGATTCTCCTGCCTCAGCCTTCCGAGTAGCTGGGATTACAGGCATGCATCACCACGCCCAGCTAATTATTATATTTTTAGTAGAGACAGGGTTTCACCATATTGGCCAGGCTGGTCTTGAACACATGACCTCAAGTGATCTGCTTGCCTTGGCCTCCAAAACTGCTGGGATTTTTTACGGGCATGAGCCACTGAGCCCAGCCAGTACACACTTTTAAGCAACCAGATCTTGTGAGAACTCACTCACTATCACAAGAAAAGCAAGAGGAGAGTCTGTCCCATGATCCAATCACCTCCCACTAGGCCCTGACTCCAACACTGGGGATTACAGTTCAACATGAGATTTGGGTGGGGACACAGATCCAAACCCATATCACTCTGGGCCTATAATAATTTTCCAGCTCACATCTTTACTCAAAGATGTCTCTCATTGCCTTGAGGTAGGAGGTGTTGATATTCCTGGCAGAGAGCAACACAAATATGAGAGAAAGCAATGAAGATTAATGTCTGTGGTATATTTGGTGCCCTGCCAGTCACTAGGCATGACTGAGTAGAGTGCTTGGCAGGATGCTGTATATATACTGTGACCAAGACCATTACAAAATATGGAATAGGATTGGGTGGTGGCTCACACCTGCAGTCTCAATGTTTTGGGAGGCCAGGGGTGGGGTGGGAGTTGCCTGTGGTCAATAGTTTGAGATCAGCCTGAGAAACTTAGTGAGACCCTGTCTCTCCAAAAATAATATTAAAAAAAATTAACTGGCACAACTTGGGAGGCTCAGGCAGGATGATCACTTGAGCCCAGGTGTTTCAGGTTGCAGTGAGCCATGATTGAGCCTCTGTACTCCAAACTGGGTGACAAACAGAGTGAGACTCAGTCTCAAAAAAAAAAAAAAAAAACAAAAAAAACAAAATATGGAATAGATGCAACAAAAACATTGGCAAAATGAATATCCATAGGCATATATGTGCACGTGTGGGTACTTGCCTGTTTAGAAAATGTGAGCTATTTGACAATGGCTAAAGTTAGCTAAAGCAATAGCTAAAACCCACAGATACCAGAATTCCTGGAAAAAATATTCACCAGCTATCTAACAATCTAAAAATACACCTATGGAAGGTAATCTTGAAAGACAGCAGGCACAGGTCTAATTGAGAGAAAACAAAACCAAAGCAGATTACCAGTCTATAGACCTGCTGAACCTGCATATATCCTGTGAAGACAGGGGTGTGGCCTGGTACTATCACAAAACCAAAGCCATATGATATAAACACACAGAGCCTGGATTTTTTTTCAGAAAAGCCTCCACATTTAAACTGTAGACATTGCTTGTCCTCCCTTCATCACCTCACATATGAGATTTGGCCACCCATACATTTAGACAACAGATGGGAACTATCTGAATGTATGTACATAGTTAGAATCAACAAACATTAAAGTCTGCATATGGCATCATTTGAAATTTCCACCAACTCTCTAAGATATTGGAATGATTCCTTGTCATATGAGGACATGTCGCTCTTCTTTGATCGTTCCTCTATCAGACCAAGACACAGTGCCTGCCCTCGGGATGCTGCATATTTAGTTAGAAAGACAGACAGGCAAATCAGTGCCTATGAGGCTTTGATGAGGGTCTGAGGGGATGAGGCCTGGATGCTGACAGCATAGAAGGGAACTAAGTCACAATGTCAGGGAAGCTCCAGAGAAGAGACATTAAAAACTGAGACCGGATGCTGCTTGGGAGGACTGTGCTAGGGACTTTACATTTTTTGTTTGTTTTTGTTTAACTCTACTAAAGCATAATTTTTAAATATATTTTGCAACCTGAAGGAGTATCTTTTAAGCAAAATTATATGCACTTAGAGAAGATTAAAAGTCACAGAAGATCTGTGAACAAAGGTATCACAAGACCAGGCACTATCAATGAAAGAGAAGAGGCCATATATATCCAAATATAAGATAAGGTATCCCCCACCAAAAAAAGTCCCTCAGGAAAGACAAAGTTATCTCATGTGTAAATCCTTACAAAGTCTCCAATATCTTGAGGTGCCCTTTCATTTACCTTATTTTGAACAGTAATGTACCATTTGGGGGAAGTTTTATTCACCTGAAACAACTGCTACCTAGGCTAAGTTTGAGTGCTTATAGAAAACACCTCATGAAATTGGTAAAAAGCAAAACCAAAGAAATTTAACACAAACATAATAATTACTTTTGGGGAAATAACCTCACAATAGCAAGGGCTGGCCATTATATATGAGTTTTTAAAGGTCATCTTTAAAAGCAAAATGATTTGTTTGGATATTATTTTTCATAGTTGAAGTCATACAGAATACATTTGATAGTTATGTATTCTACCTTTTCCACTTGACATCCTTGTGTCAACATTTTGTACAAAATAAAAAATTATTTAACAATGACAAAAGCAATATAATATATAGTTATGCTGTGGAGCTCATGGACCGCTAGCTATAGGATAAATGAAAAATCAAAACTGTTCTTACTTTATACTAATGGACACACAGTTGGGACACTTATAGTTATGATAAAATTTTATTATACACAGATGCAAGAAGTACTTTGATCAAACAACTTACTTAAATGCAAAGATGTGCTCTGGAAAACTATTCAAAAATGTTTTGACTATTCAAAAATTCAGTTAAATGATAACAGAGATATTGCTGTTGAAAATGCCTGTGATTAGTTTGAAGAAATTGATAAAATGTGCATAAAGAAAAGCAAAAATAATAGAATATGTAAATAATATATTAATACTTATAAATTAATATAAATTATAGAGTATAATTCTAAATCTGTATAAGTAGTTATAGTCATGAATTAAATGTTATTTAAAATTTCATCTACAGCTCTAAGTTTATATTTTTATGATGGAAAATCCCTATCTGGGTTTTTTCCTCTTCTTATTGAGAAAATATGAATTTGGAATATGTGATTAATTCATTGCCCAATCCCTGTGGCGCATCTCATGGATAGATAAGACTAGTAAGAGGCCGGGCGCGGTGGCTCAAGCCTGTAATCCCAGCTCTTTGGGAGGCCGAGGCGGGTGGATCACAAGGTCAAGAGATCGAGACCATCCTGGTCAACATGGTGAAACCCCGTCTTTACTAAAAATACAAAAAAATCAGCTGGGCATGGTGGCGCATGCCTGTAGTCCCAGCTACTCAGGAGGCTGAGGCAGGAGAATTGCCTGAACCCAGGAGGCGGAGGTTGCGGTGAGCCGAGATCGCGCCATTGCACTCCAGCCTGGGTAACATGAGTGAAACTCCGTCTCAAAAAAAAAAAAAAGATAAGACTAGTAAGAAAAAAATAATTGAAGGATTCAGAAAATTACAGAGGCTTGGGTCATTTAACGTTGAGGTAAAAAGCCCTTATACCCACACACCTACTTTATAGCAGAGAACAAATCTGGATCCTTAAAAATCCATAATAGTTTTCAATTTGCCTACAAGGTCTAACACCAATAACCTTAACATTGACATGCCTCCGCAATTTGTCAACTAACCTACTATGTTTCCACACCTGTCTCTTGGTCTTAACCTCATGCATTCAATGTTGAGACAAATCAAACCAAACAGTATTTCAGTGCTGGCCCCAAATGTCCAGCTTCTGTCCTTTTGCTCATAGTATTCTCTCTGACAAAATGGCTTTCCCCTCCTCTTCCCCACCAAATGTCTGCATCCTCCCTATCTCCAAGATCCATCTCAAATACCACTTCATTAGTGTTTTCATATGTCTCAAATAGAGTTAAACCTCTTTTTTGTAATTCCAAATCTGAAATACCAAAGGCTCAATACTGGTGGCCTTCCTGTGTGATTGAGGGTCAGCAGGCAGGTTTTCAGCTGAGTCGTCTTAAGGTACTAGTGAGTGAGGTCAGTCCATATAATAATAATGAACCCTTAAAAAACACCAGAATAATGTTAATAATAGCTAACTCTAGCTCAAAATTTGCTATGTACCAGGCAGTCTTCTAATTACTTTATATAAATTAATTCATTTGATCTTCACAAGAACTTCATGAAGCAGGTACAATTATATCTGCAGTTTAATAGATTAAAAAAACCACAGCCGAGGTTTGGTAACTTACCCAGAGTGGTCCAGCTACAAGTGAGAGAGCTGAGAAATGATGGACCTAACCATTGTGCTCTCCTACCTTAATGAGGACTACCAGAAAAAAGACCAGCCATGAGCAGAGAGACAGCCTGGTAAACTGAGGAATATGGAGGCACATGCATTTAACTGGGGAAAGAAAAGGTGGAACATTAAGCAGGTAGGGAAATAGCAAACTGGGGGCAGAGTGGGCCCTTCCGGTGCTTTCTTCCCACTCTGGGCCAATTTCAGGGTCCTAAAGAAAAACATCTCTGCCAAATGCATTGGAAACTTCATGGCATTATAGGTAACTCATCACTTCTAAAATTACTAAGAAACTTGTCACATCTCCCTTATTAACCATATGGTCCTTGAGGACCTATGTTCAATTCACCTGCTACAATATCTAGAACTCGATGTTGCACCTTGTAATTAACCAATAAAAAACTGTTAAATGTAGATGCGACCACTACTCCTCAGTTCAGTTAACTGCCTCTAAAAAGAAGATACCTGTCCAAGTTATTTAAGAAGAGTCTACTCCAACACTTTTAAAATAATTCTCCATTGTGTTTTTCTTCATAACATTTTTGTTTTCTTATTGTTACTCTCCCCCAACTACAAACTACCTAAAGGCAGAGGTTTCATTCTTGTTTATTGATGTATTTCTGGTGCCCTAGAACAATGCCTGGCACACAAAAATAACTCAGTAAATATTCATGAGGCAGATATTTGAAAAAGAATGGGCTTTGAAGATGCTCACCAAACCCTTGTGGGCGGCCTTTGTTCTTGCCAGCCAACCTTGAATAAGTGTACCAACGTGATTCCATTATCCTCAAAGCAAACACATGTCATGGAACACAAGGAAAAGAAAGGGTTTTGCTGGCGATTTCAGGAGGGAGTTAGGGAATGGAGGAGAGCATAAGCCTCACACAGAGCACAGCACAGCACTTTGCTCTTCCCTAAATCTCCATCAGGCATCTCTGTCTCCAGCCACGTCCTCGCCTGCCAGCTGGCCATCCCTCCACCCTCCCACAGTGTCACCCCTCCAGCACTGCAGGTCCCCAGCTGACATTGCTCCTGAATCTCTATATCCCCCTTAGTATTCTGCTGAGCAATATGAAGTCTCCAGTTTACCTTCTCACACCTGTCATCTCTGTTGAGCAAAGGGCACGTTCCCTTCGGATCCATCCTCCTTAGGAGGAAGCATGGAAATTAAAAATAATTTTCTCTTTTAAAAGTATTTTTGTTTTTTCTGTCACACACCAAGAATTGAACTTGAATCCAAGCTTTGTGATTTTGTAGTTGCTTTATCTCAGCCAAATTACATAACCTCTTACTACCTAAGTCTTCTTATCTTATAAATGTGGGGATAAAAACCAACTTGACAGGGCTATTTTGAGAATTAAATGGGACAAAACAGGCAAAAGCACCTTGTGCAAAGTAGGTATTAAAGATGTTAGATTAACTGGGCATGGGGACACATGCCTGTAGTTCCAGTTACTTGGGAGGCTGAGGTGGGAGGATCACTTGAGCCCAGGAGGTTGAAACTGCAGTGAGCTGAGATCATGCCATTGCACTACAGCCTGGGCAACAGAGTGATACCCTGTCAGAAAGAAAGAGAGAGAGAAAAAGAAAGAAAGAAAGGGAGAGAGAGAAAGAAAGAAAGAGAAAGAGAAGGAAGGAAGGAAGGAAAGGGAGAGAGAGAAAGAGAGAGAGAGAGAAAGGGAGAGAGTAAGAGGAAAAAGAAAAAGAAAGAAAGAAAGAGAAAGAGAGAGAGAAAAAAATGTTCATTCTCTCTTTGTTCTTAAACCCTCAACTATCTAAAATGACCCACGTACCAGAGGTTTTACAGGACAATAGGAACTCATCACCATTTACAACATTGTTTCTGTGGTACCAGGGGTTTGGAAGGCATTAACTACACAGGGCAGCTCCTGTGGGCAGCAGTGGTAAGGGAAGGTAGGGGACATTGCTGTTTTCTCTGTGTTTATATATCAAAAATTACTAAATAGGGTGAGCTGCATGAATATCACTGTTAAAGCAGCTACTCAAAAATGTCCATGGTACCAGTCAGCCTTGGAAAATGAGAAACACAGATCTTAATGAATTAAGGGCTCACTTAGTGCTTACAGTGAGAAAAGGTCAACAGTCAAAGTTCCTTTACACCCTAATCTTGTCTCCACTCCCTCAGTCCTCAGTGTCCTTATTATAATGGAGCTAAGCCTGAGAAGCCATCCCATCCTGTCTTCATGAGCACTTCGTTAACGCCAAGTATGCTATCACTGCACGTTATGATTCCCAGGCGAGTGCATCATAATTGCCTCACAAATACTTGCTGGCTACTTGATTCTGATGGTAGTTATACAAATTATTCTTAAAACCCAAATTAAAGACTCTTGGCTGGTGTTTACAAGGTAGTGATTCAAGGGAACACTTACAACTGAAAAAACACAAAATAACTCATGCTTCGGATGCCTGGTGAGATAAACCAAAGTCGTTTTTGCCAGAGAGAAATGTAAAGTACAGCACATTTGTCTAAAACGAAAGAAACAAGTAATCCCTCTTTCAGGCCAGAATGGACTCCCTAATTAATGATATGATGGTGAAATTCAACCATGTGATGCTGCATGCATTTGGAACATTTTGAAGGTCAGCTTGGGTCAGAGCAAAACATTTTTTTCTTTTTACTTTTTATGAAGTCAATTTCTAAAAATATCATGACAGTTCTGATAGCTTCCACAGCCTATCATTTGGGGTGATGCACAAGTGAGATTCAGACAAAACTTATACCTAAAAATTAACACAAACCTGACCAAGAAGGCTTGAAGGAGGAATAGGACCACCTGGTATTTTGCAGCATCAGTGAGCATGGAAGAGTTCCCTCACTGGAACTAATGCCAGAGGCCTTAGAGAAATGCCTCTACCCACATCACTTAGGCTCTGTCTCTGCTTAAATCCCATTGCCTCCCCCCAACCTCATCCTCATTCTGTAAGGATGACCTTTCTCCCTATTTCACTGAGGAAACAGAAGCCCTCAGAAGGGAATTTCTCCATGCTCCCACCACTTCAATCCACCTACCTGCATGTAACTCCATATTCTCTACTTTTCTTCTACATATGGATGAATTGTTGGTGCCTCTAGGCAAAGCCAACTCCTCCATTTTGGCTTGACCCAATATCTATAACCTACTCTAACCTGCTTGGACACTCTGCCAAGATTTCTCCCCTCTCAGTATTGCACCATCGGTTCTTCCATATCTTTTGGATGAGTCCCATCTGCATTAAAACATGCTGATAATTCTCTTATCTTAAAAAAAAAATAAGCAAAAAACAAAGACGTTCTCTTGACCTGTATCCTCCAGCCAAATCCTGTCTCTGCTCCTCTTTAGAGTAACCCTCCTCAAAAGAATGTTTAAATAGGCTCCCTCCATTATACTCTTTTTACTTTCTTACACTCACTCCAGTCCAGCTCTGCCCCTACCATTCCAGCTCTTGTTAAAGCCTTCAAAGTGGGCTTCCACTTCAGTTCACTCCAACAATCAGTTCTCCATGCTCCCCTTAATGGTCCTCTCAGAAATGTCTGCCATGATTGATCATGCCCCCTAAACATGGATGGCATTTGTCTTCCAGGGCATCACTCTCTCCTGATTTTCCTCTGTATCCCTGGCTGCTCTTTCACTGTTAGCATTGCTGCCTCTTCCCCATCTCCCCAGTCCCCAGACATGGCAGTGCCCCAGGACTCAGTCCTTGACCTCTCCTCTAATGCACTCACTCCCTTGGTATTCTCAGCCAGTCCCATGGCTTTAAATACCAACTCAATGCTGATGCCTCCTGACTTTATTTATTTATTTATTTATTTTTATTTTTGGCTCACACTGGAATATGCTTACTCAAAATCTCCACTTGAATGTCTAATCATCTTTTCAGAAGCAACAAGTCCAAGACTGAGCTCATGATATTTCCTCCCAAAACTGCTCTTCCCACAGATACCCCACAAACACCAATAAATGACAACTCCATTCTTCCAGGGGCTCAGGCCAAAAACCTTGGCTCATTCCTAATTCCTTTTTCTCTCTCACCAAAGCCAGTTCAACAACAAATCCTACTGATACCTCCTACAAAATACATCTGCTACCCTATTACTTCTAATCTACCTCCCTGGTTCAAACCACCCCCTCTCCTCTAGATTACATGTGGTAACTTCCTAACTAGTTCCCCCATTGTTATTCTGTTAACCTCTATGGTCTATTCTCATCAGTGCAGCCAGAACAAATATGATGGGAAGTCAAATCATGTAATATTTCTCTTCAAGACCTTCAAATGGCTCCCTTTCTCCCTTGGAGTAAAAGCACGAGTCTTCACAATGTTATATAAGGCCCTACACAATCTGGGCATCCATTATCTCTCTAATCTCATCTACCATCCCCTCTCTTCCTCCACTTCAAATATACTAGTCCCATTGGCTTCTTGGATGTGTGAGGGAAGTGCTCAGTTTCAGGTCTTTGCACTTGCTGTTGCCTCTGCTGGGAATGCTTTCCCAGAAGTGTTCTTCATATGGCTAAATCCTTCATTTCCTTTAAGTCCTTGCTCAGGAGTCAGCTCTAATGTGATTGCCCCAATCACCTTTTGAAATTGCAATCTCTCATCCCCATACTCACTATTCCTCTATCCATTTTATTTCTTTTTTACTTCCTGACTCTTGTAACCCTAACATACTACATCATTTCCCTATTTATTTAGTTGATTGTCTTTCTGTCTCCTCTAGACTGTAAACAATGAGGGTGGGGATTTTGTCTGTTTTGTTCTCTGTGACTGTCTTAACATAGTAGGCACTCAAGTGGTGGTGGTGTCGGTGAGCAAACTCACAGAGAGCAGCTCTGGAAATCGCATGATCCCTAGCTGCTCGAGGAATTAATTCAGCCTGAGCAGAAGACATATTCATTCTCAGACTAAATACACTTTTACTTTGTCAAGAATATATAACTTCTGTTGCCATCATCATCATAACTCAGGTTTATATATTATAGTTTTCCAGCTTACAAAATTCTTTCTTTTATATAGTCATATTTCAACCTCAGGACAACCCTGTGAGTTAAACAGGGCAGACGGTGCCAATCCCATTTTACAGATGAGGATGCTAAGCCTCAAAACGGTTAAATACCTAGCTTCAAGGTCACCTAGACGATGAGTGCAAACTTGGGATGAACCTTGGAGTAAATCCTAAGTCCCCTCACTTGAGGATCATGGCTGCTGCACAGTCGGCTTTAAAATAAACAGCTTGCCCTTCTCTGGAGTGCTTGAATGAGTACTGACAGAATCTGGAAAGTTTACTATCCTAACGTGGCTATTTATCTATTTATTTTGTAACAGTCTCGCTCTGTCACCCAGACGGTAGTGCAGTGGCACGACTTCCATTGACTGCAATCTCCACTTTCCAGGTTCGAGTGATTCTCCTGCCTCAGCCTCCCAAGTAACTGGGATTACAGGTGCCTGCCATCACATCCTGCTAATTTTTGTGTTTTTAGAAGAGACGGGGTTTCACCATGCCGGCCAGGCTGGTCTCGAAATCCTGACCTCAGATGATCCTCCCGCCTTGGCCTCCCAAAGTGCCGGGATTACAGGCATGAGCCACTGCACTGGGCCTTGGCTCTTGATTTATAAAAAAAAAAATTAACTGAGTGAGTCTCAGATTCCAACACTGTTCCCTACACAGGATACAGTTCAGGACAACACAGACTGGAACAGGTTATGCTTTCATGGAGTTTATATTCTCAGAGAAGAGATAGACAATAAACAAATAAGTGAATCACCTAAAATGAGCCAGAGGATGATAATGCTATGAAGGGAAAAAGGATAGAGGTTGATGAGGAGCATAGTAAATGAGCTAAGTTTGAGATGCCCACTAATAAGTTATTAACATGTTACCCATAAATTTTCAATTGGTAACAGGATGGACAGTGCCTCTAATTGCTGGCTGGGGATGCTACAAATTATATTATTATGCATTTGGGTATCAAAGATGTTCAAGATTCTCAGTCTAGGAGTTAAGGAATAGGGGTGACAATAAAGCAAAATAAAGCAGAGCCTGGTCAAGAGTTTCAAAAGATAGTGCTTAAACAAACACTAACTTGTAAGAGCACAGGTTTTATTCATGACAGAAGAGCTTTCCTTTTTTTTTTTCACTTCTGGTTTTTTTTGAGACGGAGTTTCGCTCTTGTTACCCAGGCTGGAGTGCAATGGCGCGATCTCGGCTCACCGCAACCTCCGCCTCCTGGGTTCAGGCAATTCTCCTGCCTCAGCCTCCTGAGCAGCTGGGACTACAGGCACGCGCCACCATGCCCAGCTAATTTTTTGTATTTTTAGTAGAGACGGGGTTTCACCATGTTGACCAGGATGGTCTCGATCTCTTGACCTCGTGATCCACCCGCCTCGGCCTCCCAAAGTGCTGGGATTACAGGCTTGAGCCACCGCGCCCGGCCCGACAGAAGAGCTTTCTAATAAATGAAGCTGCCCAGCAGTGAAACACTCTGGAAATGAGCACCCTGTCATCGAAAGTATCCAATAAGCAAATTAATGACTTCTCTTCCAACTGCAAATTTGATTATTTTCTATTTTGCAGAGTCTCTCTCTACCCTAAGTAACCATTATTTGCAGCGGAAGGCTCTGTGAGGGTGAGAAAAGGCAGTGGGGTCAGGACAGGAGCAAAAATCTGGCCCCAAACCATGGTTTCTTGCCGGCCCTCATAGAGGATGAGAGCCACCTGACTGTCAGCCCCAGATCCTTCCAGCAGTGGCTAAAGTTGCCTCTTCTACAGGGAGATGAGGGGCATAGCCTCCTCTAGACTTCCACTGCAGAACCCACCAGGGGCTCACATCTCAATGAGGTCCCCTGCCCAGCAGGAACAGGCAGATGTCTTCGCAAGTTACTCCATTCTCACTGACAGCGAAGCCACCAGTGGTTACAAAAAAGGGAAGAGCAAACTGTCCTTGGCAGGAGGCTGCCCCTCTAGTGATTTCTCGATGCCCACTGACAATGTCCACATGTCTGCAGACCTCTTGGAGATCCGGCCAGCTCACAATATCCCCGATGGCAGTTACCCACCCTCCTTTGCCTTTCAGCCACTCTCCCAACCCTTCACTCCATGGGCAACCAGATATTCAGGGGTGACTGCATACTGGCCCAGGAAAGTTATCATGGTACAGACACTGGCAACAACTGCTAATATTGCTCCCATTTATCCCTCACTTACTCTGGACTAGATAATGTTCTAAAAACTCCATATGTGAAAGGATGGGCTATAACCCTGATATATATATATATATGCAGGGACATGCTTGGAGGACTACAGTTGGCCAGTGTTTAACTAGTTGTGGTAGCTTTTGTTTG